CCGATTCCATGCTCGATTCCATGAATAATAGAGCATTCTGCTGCCTTGAACTAAGCCTACAATGACACCAATATAAGGCTATATTAAAAATCAATAAATCATAGCGATCAATGGTAAAAATTAGCAAACGTTCAATTATTCTACTTCCTAATAGAGTACCAGTACTCCTCAGGAAAGCTACCCGGATAATTGTAAAGATTAACAGCCTTCCTTAAAAGACAAAATACGCGAGTTTGAGATGGAACAGACGATGGGAGGGGGGGGGGAAGATTGAAGGTTGCATGGGGAATAATTGGGAAGCGCACGTCAAAACTGCTTACGTGACAATGGGATTGCGTATGGAGGGCTTAAAAAGTTACGATTAGATTGGTTGTCCGGTTTTGTGATATTTTGGGCTGAGGTGAAATTGAACCAGCGTGTAATGACGACGTCAACTTCAAATTTCCGTCTTTCCAGTTTAGCTAATTCTCATATACAGCTGCAACGAAAGGCGAGATTTATAATTTAGTCTAAAAGTTGTAATGATCCATTTAGCAAGCATTTAAATGAGGAGGGTTCAATTAAATTCATATATAGTCATTTATTTATATAAATGGTAGGCGTTCTGGTAGTTTTCATTAGCCCTTTAGTTGACTTCAGGCTTCATAGAGGGGAAGGAACATCAAAGTGGAAAAAAAGTCGAGAGGGGGGGGGGGAACAGAAGAGTGCTTCAAAGACGAAGGTAAAAAAAAATTAGGTGAGTACTGTGGAAGTAGTCGAATATGACATACAGTGGGGTCATGGCAGTTTGAAGTCAGAAGTCAACTGCCCATCGATAGACTTTATGCGGTATGAGTATACGTTGCCCAGGGTGCACCACGTGGAGGTAAGTCTATCGCACGCCCCTTGTTTTAACCTTCATCATCTGCTTTGCAGATTAATAGTTTTATTCCTGCAACTTCCGAATAATATACTTTTGGCCGTAGGAAAATACGTTGCCCAGGGTGCACCACGTGGAGGTAAGTCTATCGCACACCCCTCATATATAGTCATAGAAGTCACTAAGAATTCAGCGATTTATGAAGCTGGCGATTAACAAGATATTACCCTCTCTCTCCCCTATTATCAATCTTATTTTGAATAAAGCTCAATATTTTCTATTAACGTAGTAAAAGGAAACTCGAATTAACTTAGACAAGAATAAGTGTGTGGTCAATGTAAGAAAAGTTTACTGTAGGAACTGGCAGTTGCTCATACCAGGCTAATGTTTGTTTCATTGGGTTAATAGAATACGCTTGAATTGGATTTACCATGTAAAAGTAGGAAAATATTGACCTAGAAACAAGTGTTTAGAGGTCCTGGTGGCAGTTATTTAGTCGATAATGAAAATTCATTTTGCTTAGAGCTGACTTTCTCATTTATTAGTTATGCCCGTCACATTGATTGAGGTCACCTTGAACAGATATATAGCTGCTTTTGTCTTACTCACTGAAATAAATTATATACATTTAAATGCAATCATTCAATTTACTCTGTCATTCAACCCAACTCATTCTGGGAATGGAGTCATTCAACATTCCGAGAAAAAATCTCGATATTTGGAAGAATGAAGTGGTGAATCGTGTGACAAGTTAGCAACAACTGAACCCATTTCCCAATTTTAACCCGATTTTCTCTTCACTTCTTCCAATAATTATAACCTAACTCAATTTTTCGCTTCTTTTATACAATCAAATATTGCAATTTTGCGTTATTTTGAAATTATAATTGATATTAATTCTTCAAATGGAATATAGTCTGGCTACTCTTAGTTACGATTCAGCGTTTAAAGTAACCTCTGTTTACCATTTAACTGCGCCAAGAGTGAAGGAAAGTATCCCCTGGGAATGACTGGTTGTCTGATTAATTTCGGGTAAAAACACTAGTCTCATTATAATCAGAATGCAAAAGGGGATACGCTCCCCTCCCCCTCACCCCCACCTCCACCCCCTTAGAGTTGCAATATAAAATCCATTAAAGATTTTTATTCCCAACTGGATGGAAGGAAAGAAAACTATTATAAAATCATTGTGCAAGTGCTTAGAGACAGACATCTAAAACAATTGCATGAATATTGACAAAGAGGTCATTTTACATTTGGGTAGAAATCACTGTATGCACTTCATGCAGGAACGAAGTTGTGGGGTACACAACGTTGTCACCACCCCGTAAGTAGTGTCATGCGCTTCAAGGCGCGACGTGCAACTTCACAATGGGAGTAAGTGCGTCGTGAGTGCGCGGAGAACACACAGCCAACCGCCAATCGATAGTCCTCCCTTGATTCATCGTAACTGCCGTATTAATTGAATGAATAATCTCCTTGTCTGTATGCAGGCCTACTCACATACTTCCCAAATAAACTTGTTCCGTACGGAACGTCTGTTTCCCCTAAAGCTAGTTCTGGGAGTCTTTCCAAACATAGGAGAATCCGCCATTGAGATTACTAATCATAACTCAAGGCTTTTTAGCGTAGCAATCCGCTAAACTCCTGCCATGGACGCGAATAAAAGTTATAATATCATGACTGAGTTCCCTGTAAGTAAGGTACGCTTCACATTAGTCCAAATAAACGTGGTACACGTGATACGTCTATTTCCTCTAAAGCTTTGTGGTAACTCAGCTAATTCTGGGAGCCTTTCCAAACATCGGAGAATATGCCATAGCGATTTCTGAGTATAGGTCAAGGCTTACTGATGTAACAAATCTGGTACAAGTTGACGAGATTTATAAAATTACTGTTAATAATTTTTTGTTAGTTTATAGCTTATTTATTCTTGGTAATATATAAGATCAAGCTATTTTAAATTGAATATTTTCAAAATATTTAGAGATTATTGCTAGATCATCTTGCGATAATGATTATTTCTAACATATATTGTTGAATTTTTACATTGGATCATAGGCGTATTGGTATAATTTATACATTATTAGGTATATGAGTTGGTTTTAGAGGCTTACGATTTGATATAATGAATCGAAAAAAATGTGTAGAGCTATCATTTGGCAATAGATCTCAACTTCCACAATTTTGCCTCGAAATTTCTACGGGCGTTTTTTGGTATTTGCTTGCTACTAACTTGACTTATTAATTCTTCCTCAATTTATTCATTTCAGGAGATGTAGCTCTTGAAATTTTACTGGCCATCATTTTTTTCAAGTTTGAGCGATTTATTTCGACTATTTAAAGAGCACACGATGGATGCAGAATTTCGCCCTCCCCGAAGAGGGAAGAGGCATTGATTTTTTTGTCTCCTCTGAGATGGCGCCTGATAAAGCCGAGCTGGAGGCGAAATCATAAAATCGGGAGAGCTGTTGCCATTTATTTCTACTCGACCTACTCCCAACTTCAAGTACTTCAGCCCCAACCCCCCCTCCCCCCACCCAATTCGAAACACACTCGTCGGTGTTTGGGGGGGTGGTATAAATTTAAGATGGAGCATTCGAATTTCATGGCAAGAAGTTGAAGGTGTCCAGTGGATGCATTTTCATTCCACACTCATCACCTTCAATCGATTTTCCGTGATGACTTTTTTTGAAAAACACTTCTTATTTCCGAATATGCGCAAAAAATGTGTCAGCTTCATTTAATGAAGATTAATAGTACAATCTGTCCAAAGTATAGATGAACTCAAATATGGGAGATATTACCAATCGGAAAATTTTATGTTGCCATGCATTAATGGTTCACATTAAAAATATGCAATAGGTTTATAGTGTAAATATAAGCTGCTCGGGTTTCAGATGAGAATCATTGTAACAATATCTGACGAATATTAAGGCAATATATTTGCAAACTTTGAAATATCATTCCGACTTCATATATCCTCATCATCATTCACTTTGTGTTTTTGTGGCGAACATTTATGCCACGAAATTTGTTTTTTGTCAACAGAACGTGAAATTGTGACTTAGATACTCTGTAAATATGTTGTACTTTCAGAAATAAGTCATTTTACCCTTTTTAAATAGACCTAGGAGGGCTTACCTCAAATGCATCAAACTGAGAAGAACTAAAGAACAGAGAGAGGGAGACAGGTGATAAAGCACAATTCGATTCGGTTCCTCGATTTCAAAGATGGCCAACCCCATTCGTGGTCGAAGTCTTTAAATTATTCTCTCGTTCCCTTTTTCAATGCAGTTCAACGAGAATGGTATATCAAATCAAGTAATCAGTATGCCGATTATTATTGATTTTTAAATTTCAGTTGTCGCTTGCAAGTGGCATCAAACAACGTAGAGGTCCACAAAAATTGATTCATGGAGATGAAAAGGTATAAAGATCAAAGTATAGGTAACAAAGTGTCTTTATTCATTCGATTTTATGATCTTGGGTAGAAACATATATACAAAGTTAGCAAAAGGCATTCAGTCATTCAAATTTTACGATTCGCACTCTGGATTGTGGTAAATGCATGTCTCTTTTATGTGCATTTCCTATTGATTTTTATTATTTGATCAGGAAGATTGATTTTGGCAGCTTAACTCCACGTGTTCTATCAACAGTCGAGAATGGAAATAATTTTACAAAATATTTCACATTTACGTTTTTAACATGGTAGAGATGAGATAGTTAGCAGAGCTCTGAAAGCTGGGTTCACTCAAAGTGAACCAATTATATTTTGTTATAAAAAAGAGCAGATAATTTTTCGCACATCAAAGAGACTTATTACTTACACTTCCACACCCATTTTTATTGTCAAAATACCAATAAAAATGTTTAATGATAAAATATATTATAATTTTCAAATTCGGCGGGAAGAGGGCAATTTTTACGTGAAACTATTCTATTTATTTGGCAAATAATTCATAATTTGATTGATATCAAAAACCCGTCCATTAAAAAAACATTTTTATTTTAAATATTGCTTTTTGGACAAAATGATGGAGATTTCAAAGCAAAATTTAAGCGGATTCCAGTACCGCTGAGGAAATTTTATCCCGTGAAAAGTGGAAATAAAACTTTGAAAGAAATAAAGCAATAATTAGGGCTTCTTTTGAAGTCTTCGCTCATAATCATCGCAATTTAATCTAAAAGACAAAAATTACAAATGATTATCAATGAAACAATACAGAGAGTAAAGAATAAAAATGTGGATCGCTGAGAGGCGTTAAATCTACTGGATGATATAAAATAAAGTCGATTCTTCATTAAATTAGTATTTGATTTCCTACCAATGGCTAACCTGATACGCTATTTAGGACTAGGTATAAAGAATTAACGATGACTAAAATCCTACCCTTTGGCTTGTCAAGGTTTGTCTATTTGATTCGGAAACTTCTAAACTATGCGAAATTTTCGGGTTTGAACGTCGGTAAATTCTATTAAAAGATTAAAGTCATTTAAAGTTGTCTTGTTATCTTTTAAATTAATACTGCCCTTCACGGCAAAGTTACTCTTATCAATACGATATATGGTGTGTGTTATAACACGATAAATGAAAGTAACAGCTGAAATCAGATCAGCAGTTCTAAATTGTTACCTCTTTAAGTAAACACTTTGAGAGGTTGGTCGTCCCTGAATACAGCAGACTCAATACCAATGCGCTCCTGCCTTGTGAAGCTATCTGGATAAATGATATCGAAATTGATGTGTAGGTCTCCTTTCTTCTCGGGATCATTGGGATCCGGCATACCTTCACCTTGAACTATTTTGACGTAGTGAGGGCTAGTTTGGAATAATAAAATATATTTAGAGCATGCTACTGATAAATAGTTCAGTAGATATAAGTTTAGTCAAATAACTTGCCTGATGACGTTTGAAATTGGAACATGAAGAAGTCGATTATCTAAAGTTTGAATATCAACAACGCATCCAAGCAGTGCTTGGCCGACATGGATCTTTTCTGTATGGTAAAGATCGAGTCCTTCACGTCGAAAGAAGGGGTGCTCCAAAGCAGTAACTTCAAAAATAATATCACCTAAAAACGTTGATAAATCTGATGTAAGATTAATGCTCATTGTGGAAAATGACATTAGTTTGAAATCATACAATTTTTCTTAATGTAAAGTTTAATTATTTAATCACGAAAGATTTTGAGGTCTGAATTAGTGAGATTCGACCAACGACACATAAACGATTGATAAATATTTTCACATTGTAGATAGAAGAGATTGTAAAAATCGACATCAAAGTGTTTCACGGTCGTTCATTTAGTAGCCAAATTTTAAGGCACATTTTGTATTGTTTGGAACACAATGGTAGCATGACCCATGTTATCATACCCGCAACCCAACAGACACAGAGCCCAAATAAACGTATTCCACGTCCTAGGTTTGCTTCCTCTTTAGCTTTGTGGAATCTTAGTTAATCCTGGAAACCATTCCAAATTAGGAGATCTTACTAAAGAGGTTGCTGAGTAAAAGTTAAGGCTTAGTAGTGTAGCAACCAGAAACAGTATCAGGGTAGCATTCTTTTAATGTTTTAAATAGTTACTGAATTAATTCGTTTAAAAAAAGAAATTTGAATAATCCTTATCTTAACGGAAAATTTGTAAATGTTGAGTAGTAAAGGAAATCATGGCAGCAAATCTTACCAGGCAGCACGTTTGCCCCTTGATTTCCTTCTCCAGAAAAAATTAGTCGGCCTTTCTCTTTAAAACCTGGTTGAACAACCAAAGTAAATGATTTCTTCTTAATATTCGTTGTTTGACAATCTTTATCAAATGCCTAATTAATAAAATGCTTGTGAAATAATTGTGATATATGAGTTCATTTAAGTAAAATTATAATCTAACCTTATAATCAACAGACACCTTCTTGAGACAGCCATTATAAATTTCTTCCAGAGTAAGTTGGAGAGGGACTATTGCGGGATCCGCTTTCTTTACGTGACTACAACACCCCGAAAAACTGAAATTCTGAGATATCTCGAAGGCAATTTTATTATCAATTTCTAAAATCAAATTAAGCATTATTAAAATATTATGATATTGATATTAAATATTGAAATATTATTTATGATAAATACGTACCTTTGAAAGGATTCCAGTCTCCAAAATATTCTTGAAACGTTTTGTATGGATCATCATGATAAATAAATTTAACAGGTTTCCTGACATCCCCAGGAATGCCATTCTTAAGACCAACTTCGCCGTATTGGTCGTAACGTGCTCTAAGAATTGGGTTTTTAAGAACCTCATAGGCTTCAGAAATCCATTTAAACTGTTCGAAAGTGTCTTCACATTTGTCCTTATTTATTAATGGATGATATCTTAAAGCCTCTCTCCGGTAGCTGAACATAAATAAGAATCAGAAAAATTCCACTTACGCTTTATGGAGATCATGAAGCGTTGCACTTTCAGTGACACCAAGAATGAGATAATAGTCTGCTCCCTTATTCACAATGCGCATATTTCTAAAACTACAAACAGAGCCAAATGAAAACGTGCTATATATAGACGCAATCATAAAATAAGTGGGGTTGCATCATATCTGAACTTCAAGCTATTAGTTAAACGTTTGCTCATTTGTAATTTTATCGAACAAGCTTGTAAATAAATGTCTATTTTATTTCTTATTACAGTTTTATTCCTTTTGACATAAATCATATTACTGCCGAATGAGAACTATCTCACGTTATTTTATGATGATCGATATTGCTAACCATAACAATTAGCTTATTTTTGAATTTATTAAAATCATACTTAGTAGTTTCGTATTCAAAATATTGCTAGGCCGTTGCCAATACAAGGTCAAGCTATTAAGGAATTGTAATGGGCTAAAACGATAAGTATATAATACATGATTATTAATATTTATATTTGTCTTATTTGCTAGTTTTTAGCATTTTACAGTTTTTCTTAACACTATAATTTTCTAGATATTGTTAATTACAAGTTAATACCAAGAATACGATTTATTTTTATGTGTTACACAAACATATTTGTTTGCTGCAATTTGTCTTATTTCTTTTTTGTGATAGTTTAAATTGTAACTCAGATGAACTTTTCAAATGTTACATCTCCTTTTACTGAATTACCATTCATCACTATTATGTTTCACATGGGGTGTGCGATAGACTTATCTCCACGTGGTGCACCCTGGGCAACGTATACTCATACGGCAAAAAAGTCTATAAATCGGCAGTTGACTTCGAACTTCAAACTACCATGACCCTATTGAATTTCATATTCGAATAATTCCACAGTATTCATCTCACCTTTTTCTCTACCTTTGTGTCCGTCTGCCTCTTTTACGTCTGTGAATCATTATTCTTCCCCCTCTCGACTTTTTACCAGTTGGATGTTCCTCCTCCCCTCTGTGTAGCCCGAAGTCAACTAAAGGGCTAATGATACCTATCATAATGCCTGCCATTTGAAATAAATAAATGTTTCACATAAAATTTGGACTGTAGT